TTTGCTTTGTTGATTTCCATGATACAGCGCTCCACCAATGGTGAATACATAACCACTAATGGATTTGGAATCCTTCATATCGGATATCCAATTCGCATCACAATATCCTTCTAGTACCGCAAGATATTTTGTGAAGTGTAATCCATAGGTTAAGGTATACTTCAAGTACCTTAAAACCCTCGTCAAAGCCTTCCAATGATCACTGTTTGGATTACTTGTAAATCTACTAAGTTTATTCACCACAAAAGCAATATCCAGTCGAGTGCAATTTATAACATACATAAGACTGCCAATTATTTGTGAATACCTTAGTTGTGATATGATTTCTTCCGTATTCTTGGCTAAGTGAATACTCGGATCAAGAGGAGTTCTTGCAGGACTTTCCTCAAACACGTCAAACTTTTTAAGTACTTTTTCTATGTAGTGAGATTGTGAAAGTACAATTTCATCTTGCGTTCTAGAGATTTTAATCCCTAGGATTACATCTGCCACATCCATATCTTTCATATCGAAATACTTTATTAGTATCTTTTTGGTGTTAAGCAACATTTCGTGACTATTGCCCATTCTTAACATGTCGTCCACATATAGACAAACAATTACATAGGCATATGGTGTATGTTTAATATATACACATTTGTCACATTCGTTGATCTTGAATCCATTTGACAACATTGTTTTGTCAAACTTTTGGTGCCATTATTTATGAGCCTATTTTAATCCATACAAGGACTTAACAAGTTTACACACTTTGTGTTTTTGGTTAGGAGAAACAAACCCTTAAGGTTGCTCCATGTAAATCTCATCTTCTAACTCACCGTTTAGAAATGCTGTTTTTACATCCATTTGATGAATCTCAAGTTGTGTATTGTCGCAATTGCAATTAACAACCTTATCGACGTGATTCTAGTTACGGGTGAGTAGGTATCAAAGAAATCAAGTCCTTCCTTTTGCCTATATCCTTTAGCAACCAATCTAGCCTTATATTTATCAATGGATCCATCAGTTTTCAATTTCTTTTTGAATATCCATTTGCATTCTGAAGGCTTGTTACCGAGAGGTAAATCAACCAACTCGCATGTATGATTTTGCATTATAAAATCTATCTCATTATTAATAGCTTCTTTCCAATGCAGTGCTTCCAGTGTAGACATTGCTTCATCGAAATTCTTTGGATCATCTTCTACCATATAGTTTAGAAAATTTGGGCCAAATATCTTAGAAGTTCTAGCCTTTTTACTAATCCTTGGTTCTTCCTCATTTGAAGTTTCATTGGAAGTTTTATATGTTCTCTTGTTAAAACTCGTATTTTCCTTATTTTTGCAAGGAAAAATATTTTCAAAGAATATCGCATTCTTTGATTCAATTATGGTCCCTTCGTGTACGTCTTCTATTTCGAATTTGTGTACAAAAAATCGATATGCACTACTATTATTGGTGTATTCAATAAATATGCAATCTATCGTTTTAGGACCGATTTTCACTTATTTAGGCTTAGGTACCTCGACCTTAGCCAAACACCCCCACACTTTCAAGTATTGGTAGGATGGAGGATAGCCTTTCCATAGTTTATATGGTGTCTCTTCCATTTTTTTAAGATGTGTTTTATTAAGAAGACTATTTTCCGTTAAAATAGCCTCCCCCACATGTTCTGTGGTAAATCCGAACTTATTAACATGGCATTCATCATTTCTTTAAGTGTTCGATTTTTGCGTTCTGCAACACCATTTGATTGAGAGTAAGGTACCGTTGTTTGATGAACAATTTCATGTTCTAAACAAAAGTCTCCAAACTGTGCCCCATATTCACCTCCTCTATCATTACGAATATTTTTTATTCGTTTTTCAAGTTGTGTTTCAACTTTAGCCTTATAGGTTTTGAATGCATCCAAGGCTTCATCTTTACTTCTCAAAAGAAAGATATAGCAAAACTTTGTACAATTATCAATAAATGTTTCAAAGTATTTCTTACCACCTCGAGTTTGTACAAATTTTAGATCGTATATATCACTATGTATCAATTCAAGAGGGGTTGTATTCCTTTGTATTAAATGGAACGGTGTTTTAGCCAAATTTATTTCAACACATATTTCATATTTATGATTAGGATTGATTTTATGCGCCGGAATTAAACTTTGATTTATTAGTTTACGCAACGATTTGTAATTCACATGTCCTAATCGACTATGCCACAAACATGAAGGCTCAAGTAAGTAAACGAAATTTATAGTTTTATTCATAACGATTTTCTTCGGTACAATTGTAAGAATGTTCAACTTGAACATTCAATCACACATGTATCCTTTCCCTACATACATCTCATTTTTAGACAACACAAATTTATCGGATACAAATATAAGCTTAAAACCATTCTTGCTAAGTAGAGACCCGGACACTAAATTCTTTCTTATATCCGACACATATAGGACGTTGTTGAGGACGAGTTCTTTCCCGGATGTCATCTTCAAAGTGACTTTGCCTTGTCCTTCAACTTTGGAACTAGCAGAATTTCCCATGTATAGTTGGTCGTCATTCAATTCTTGATAGTTGGAGAACATTCCCTTGTCCGCACACACATGGCGGGTAGCGCCGGTGTCAATTCACTATTCTCTAGTATCTCCAATCATGTTGCATTCGGACACTACTCCATATAAACTCATTTCTTGCAGTCCATCGGATAGAGTGTTATTTGCAACCATGTGGGCTAGAGCATTCTTCTTTGACTTGTGACATTCATTTGAACGATGTCCAGCCTTGTCACAATTGTAACAATTCCCTTTGAACTTCTTAGCCTTCTTGAAATTGTCTTTTCGCGGTGCATAATTAGGAGCCTTTCGTTTCTTAGTTGTTGCGTTTGGTTCCATTTCAACAAAATTTGCACCATCTTGATCAACCGGCATTCATTCAATTTTCCGATTGTCCTTTTCAATCCTCAAGCGCATAATCAATTCTTCCAAGTTCATTTCCTTACGTTTGTGCTTGAGGTAATTTTTGAAATCTCTCCACATAGGAGGGAGTTTCTCAATAATGGCAGCCACTTGGAATGATTAACTCAATTCTATTTTCTCGGCGTGGATGTCGTGCAATAAGACTTGAATCTCTTGCACTTGACTAATTACGATTTTGGAATCCACCATCTTGTAGTTCAAAAATTTGCCAACAATGAACTTCTTTGTTCCGACATCCTCGATTTTGTACTTTGTCTCCAAAGAATCCCATAGTTCCTTGGTTGATTCCTTTGAACTATACATCCCATATAGTGTATTATCCAATGTGTTTAGGATATAGTTCTTGCATAGGAAGTTCGAGTGTTTCCATGCATCCAAAACAATAATCGATTCACAATTATTTTCCCCTTCTTGAACAGCCGGTGCAGTTTCCTTTAGAAATTTAGCCAAATTAAGAGTGGTGAAATACAACAACATCTTTTGTTGCCACCTCTTGAAGTCTACTCCTACAAATTTTTTAAGCTTTCCCCATGTGGGATAGTAGTATTATACAACGGTATGACCACGAGTGGTACCACATTATTGGAACCATTTTCACTTGACGAAATCCCAATGGTAGTCAGTTCTGTTACACAACCAGAAATTCAACAAAATGATGATAATATCGGTGGAGGAATAATACACAAAGCACTATTCAAACAAAATAATGTTTGTCCACAGCCAACCACAAGGACACACAAATTTGTCTTAAAATTGTTGGAAACAACTTATAAAAAGGGCTATGTAAATGTTGGTTTTTGATATATTTGTTTGACTCGTTTTAACCCGCAAGAGCGTGATCAAAACACAAATTATATGAATGAAAATTTAGATAGAGTTTCGGTATAAAGATTATGTAAAACAAGGATTAAAAAGGAGTAGAAATATATAATAATCCAAAGCGAGATATTATCTCTTTCCTTAAGACAAATTGCCCCACTCCTGTGCTCACAGTGAAAGATACTTGTCTCCCAGGATACAATGGATTCACAACTTGTGGTAGCAGCACTTAAAACCACAAGAAACCGACGAACTTTTAATATCATTTCCTCTCTACAAAGGAAATGTATGAAATGCTATGGAATTAGAAAGAAGAGAATTGCAAGAGAAGAATGAATGCTCAATGCAATTGATGTACCCAAAATCATGTCTATAGGGTTCTATTTATAGATGTAGAAAGGGTGTAAATGAAGTAGTGTGGGCCAAAATATGCATCCTTTCAAAAAAGTTGCAACACTTGGCCAAAACCTGCACCTTTCTAAAAGTTGCAACACTTCATTTCTTCCAACTTTGGTCCGCAATTTCTCATTCATTCGGAATTGGTTTTGAGATTCCAAATATACCACGACAATCTTCTCGACGAGTAGAATAAGTTGGTTTATTTACTTTTGTAATTTGACCATCGGATCAAGTCCGAATATTTGGTCGAATTTGACACGTAGTCACACCTTTTCATTTTCTATTTTTTACACACTTTTTCATTTAATATTTGACCCAATTCCTACAAGATATGACTTCCAATTTAGTTATAATATTGCATCATTGAGGAATAACAAGTTAAATTTACTATGTTGGAATTAATAGATAAATTTTAGCGTTGAGTCTTCGACATAGTTTTGTTTCAATAGGAAATTAAGGAAGGAAATATAACCAACCAATTCTTACTTGCGTATTGGTTCTGATCATAATTGTATTCCTTATTGTTTTATTGTTTTATTTTTAATTAGAGAAATCTAATACTACCTTCATCCCATGAAAATAGGCTTGGTTTCCCTTTTTGTTTGTCCCAAATTATAGGCTACTTTCCTTGTTGAGAGTATAATTAATTTCTTAATTTTCTAAAATACCACTATATAATATGGCTTGTTATTAACAAATATGTGTTATCATTATTCAATGTAGGGGGTATATTAGAAAAAATGTAAATAGAATTTATAGTTCAACATATATTAATTAAGTTTCTTAGTTTGTGAAAATATAAACATGTGTATCTTTAAGAGACGGAATGAGTACTTTATTGAACAAGACTGGCCACATGTAATAAATAATCAAGCACTTTACAAAGTTCTTGAGCCTCAGGATGTAAAAGATCACCAGCAAAAAGCTCTTCAACCATGCCATTAACTTCTATTGAACTGCAGCCCGGGATTTTCTCCATTCGTCTCTCCTCAGTCAATCTCCTAACATTCTCAGCTTCGGCTTCCAAGCCAGCTTCCTTGTACATATTATAAGAAAGCATGTGAGTCCCATAGTCGGGCAATCCCTCATTAGTTAATTTTCTCCACACCATTTTCCCCGATGTCAACCTTCTCGTGATCCTACAAGCTGCAAGCAAAGCTCCCCACACATTAGCATCGCCTTCGCAAATTCTTCCCATTTTCTCTTCAATGAATTTCTCTGCCTCCTCTAATCTACCAGATCTAGCCCAAAGGTCAACTGTACATGCATAATGTGGTTCAACCCCATAAACACTATCCATATTTTCAAACAACGAAAGGCCCCTGTCAACCAAGTTTGCATGAGTACAGGCTGTATCAGAAATAAAAGTGGATTCAATTGTTTGAAGCCCCCTCAACACCATCTTGTCAAACAATTGAAGTGATTTTAATGCATCCCCGTTCATCGCCACCCCAGACATGATTGCATTCCAAGCTCTACTACCCTTGTCATCAATATCTTCAATAACTGATAAAGCCAACTCCACACTCCCACACTTTGAGTACATGTCCACTAATCCAGTGGCTAATATAGGATTTGAGTCATGTTCACACCATTTAGCATAAGAGTGCACAAACCTTGTGCTAATGCACCAGTATCAGCACAAGCAGTAAGAACACTGATAAGAACTGACTCATTAGGCTTCACATTCAGTTCTTCCATTTCTCTAAACAAGCTTAACACTTCTCTAAGATCACTGATCAGCGAATATGCTGCCACAATCGCGCTTCAAGAAATCACATGTTTCTGAGACATTTCTTCAAACAGCCCCCTCACATTCTCAATGTCCCCCATTTTCCCATACCTGTCTATCATCGTTGTCTACAACACCTCATCTCTTTCCGACATTTCATCAAACAATGCTCGTGCTTTTTCCATATCAAGATTCAATGAATAGAACTCAATCAAAGCCTCAACAATAAATGGTTCATGAAAAAAATCCTAATCTAACAACATGGCCATGTACTACAAGACCCATACGCCTAGACTCATGCAAAGCCGTAGAACATGCCTAGATTAATGGTGTAAATGTATAATTATTCTTAATAAGACCATCCTTTAACAACTTTTTATAGCAGAGAATCACGTCTACAGCTAAATTAGACTGCACATATCATCTGATCATGTTGTTGTACAGAAGGTACTCAGGTACCGGAGCTGCTAAAAAATGGTGCAAGCATAGGCAGAGGCGGAGCAGAAATTTTTAGTTCACGAGCACAATCAAACTATGTACAAATCGAATAGTTTGTTATTTATTTCTGAATGATTTATACTTAATTCAAGAAAATACAAATTTACATTTAAAAAATATTTTTTCATTAATATTTTGCTCATCATTTTCATCCATTTGATTTCGAACGGTCATTTTATTAATATTTTGTTCATCACAACAAAATTCAAATTTTAGTTTAAAAAATTTATACTGTATTTAATACAAACAATCCATTCAAGTGATCTAAATAAAAAATATATAACCAATATTCAATTCAGTAAATACAATTCATTAAACATAAGTTAAATTGATATAGTCAGTTCAGACAAATTCCATGTACACAAATAGAAAAAGAGAAAATGCAAATTTATGTTCTAATTAATTGAAATTTTGATTGAAAAGTGAAATTTTGTAAAAAAAAAAAAAAAAAAATTATAAACAAATTTTAATAAGTTAGGAGAATTATGATTTTGGTAAAATGTGTGAGACGGAGAGTAAGATAGAGTATGAGAAAAGGAAAAAAATTAAATCTATTGTGATTTTGCCTTGTTTGGTAGGAATTAAAATCAGATTTTTAGTAAATTTTGATAAAAGTTAAGAATTTCATGAAATATGTTATTAAAATTAATTATTAACTTTGATTTTGATTAAAATTTAGATTTCAATCGATATCAAATAGATCTTATCCAAAAAATGAAAAAATCTCAGAAATTGGGGGATCACGTGACCGCCAAGACCCCCCTTGGGATCCAACCTGCATCCTGCATAGAAAAACAAGTTGGGATTTCTAGAGGTGGCGGCAAATGAGAGAAACAGGGCAACGATTGATGGGTTCTCGGAGAAATTGATTTTGAGGAGGTGGGCATGCATTTGTTCGAGTTGATTGAGAGTTTCACTATTTAGCGTGAGGAATGCGAGTGTCGATGTGATGTTTGTTTGTGGCGTAATTGTCCTTTTGAATCATTCAAATTGGTGGGAATTGCTGGTTTGATCGGAATCATTAATATAAAGCTTTATTTTCTTCATTTTTGTACCATGTGTTTATTAGTATGGCAATGGGTTGAGTTCGGGACGTGGCACCCCATCACGCCCCTCTCATGCCCTGCCCCACTTTAGACAGGGGCGCGGCAAGGACTTGCCCCGTTTGCTACCTTTTTTTCACATATTCAATATTTCGAGTTTATGCTATTGTTAGAGAATAAAATACAAATTCGAAAAAAATAATGCTCAAACTAAATTCTTTTCTTTTCTTCTTGGGGGGGGGGGGGGGGGGGCGCGC